ATTCATAGTATATATTAATACTAAATATTAAATATTAATAGTATGATATATATATACTATTATTATAATTATTATTAGTTTTATGTACATACATTAATATTGTAGCCATTAATATAGCATATGCATATCAATGTTATAAATAACTATTAATAATATTTGTACATTAATATTATAGCTATTAATTTGATATATTTATACCAATATTATAACTATTAACAGCATATGTATGTATATTAACATTATAGATATTACCAATGTACATAATATTAATATTACAGTTACTACTGGTATGTGTACTATTAATCAATATTATAGCTGTTAATAGATATTGTTTTTATTAATATTATACTGGAACCATCATTATTAATATATACGCAACCTGTGATACATAACATGATCTTAACAAACTGTTTACGCAGGTGATCAAATAGTCATTTGTACATTTTTGGCTTCAATAAAATTACACGACATTGAGTTAGGGAAAAACATCTGGACCATAACGTGTAACAAGGCGGTCAGCACCGATCTGTCTTGTTATGCCCGCTGCGTGTGCTGGTCACACGACGACAAATCTATCGTTGTGTAAGCATCTACTTATCACCAGCAAATTAACACAGTCCAACGAATTATGAAGAAAAAATGATAAATCTATTTCCTTTCTTAATCATTTCAATACAACAATAGCCTTAATTTATTTAATCATCTTTGACCTATACGCGTCGTTGTCAGAAACGCATAAATTCTACAGTATACTTATCAGTAGATTGTAGATCATTGTGCATTTATGGCATGTACAAATTTCTCAAGTGCAAATAAAAATTAATATTACCTTATTTTTATCTTCGCCGGATGGTACGTCGACAATCATAATAGATGTCCATTCCATTCCTATAATTCATACATTCCGCGCTGCAAGCGAGGTGGACACCTATTACGCTGTCCGACAAAATCAAACTATTTTTCTGATTTCCTATAGCCACTATGAAATTCTTGTAGAGCTTCACTCCCCGAACAAGAATCCGAAAACCGAATTGCTCCATCATCCTCAGTTTTTGAAAAAAAATGAACTTTTGTAAAAACCTAACATTTTCGACAAAAATGAGGTATTGCATGAGAAGTACAAACGTTAGAAAGTTGTAATTGATCTCAAAAGATAGAGAAAAGCTTTCCGAATATAGTGGCATACAATTTATTAATTGTTTTTGGTTCTAAATAACTATAAATTAATGTCAAAGTTTAAAAATACAAAAATAGTACGAAGAAACTGCGCACGTCGACACTTTTTTAAACTTTGACATTAATTTATTGCTATTTAGGACCCAAAACAATTAATAAATTTCATGCCACTNTTGTTTTTGGTTCTAAATAACTATAAATTAATGTCAAAGTTCAAAAAAGTGTCGACGCGCACGGTTTCTCTGCAATATTTTTGTATTTTTACGATAAGTTCTTTGTTTAGCACGAAAACTCTACCCAGGTTCGGATTCTGTAGACATTTCTGAAGAAGAAACGGCCCGATAGAAGCGTCGGAACGATGTACATTTTGAGTAGGCCGAGAAAATGTTCGTCGGCAACATGTACACGATGTTTTGCCGCCATGTGCTTCGCTGCTCGCTTCTCTCTGTCCGACAGGGCCGAAGCTATGCGTGATCAACACCGATGGAGGGATCCAATGGGGCACCACTTTCATAGTGGCTATAGGAAATCAAAAATCGTGTCGGACAGTGTTATAGGCATTACCGGATCTCGGATTCTTGTCTCAAAAATTAGATTAAATTCTACTTCACAAAATTATTAATATAAATTGCAAAAAATCACTTTTGATTTAGAAACGTAATTTCCTGTCGGAAATTGCCGTGCCAGAAATAAGTGTTGCACAATGTCCACAGGGGCTGTATGCAGTTGATAACAATCTACTGTGCAAAAACTGGTCAGATGGTTAACTCAGTAGTGGCACACAGCGATGAAATATTGACGATCGCCATGTCGATGAATTCTTATTATATCGCCACGTCCTCGACGGATAGGAATATACGCATCTTCAGGTGGCCGTCCCTGAATCCTGCTCTCGATATTGCGTACCGCTATCAGGCTAATGTGAGTTATACATGGTATACCGAGAAATATCCAGAAATGGGGGGTTCCTCAGGTCATTTGAAGTAACTTTTTTCTTTGCGAAAAGTTTCTCCGTGGCTTCGTTTACGAGTTATTAACGAAGAACAGTGACCAATGAGAGGCGAACTTGGCTGGCGCGAGGAGACCGAGCCAATGAGCGGAACTGGGCTTCGTGGCGCACTGTTTTTCGTTAATAACTCGTAAGCCAAGTCACGGATTGCATTTTCGCTAAGGAAAAAATTACTTTAAATAACCTCAGGAATCCCATTTCCGGATTGCGAGACATTTTTGGAACTATTATTATTATATATTATAATTAATTAATTATATTATATATTATTATTATACATTATAATTAATTAATTACATTATTTTATATTATATATTATTATTATACATTATAATTAATTATTTACATTATTTTATATTATATATTGTGTTATTATATATTATTACACACACTGTATAATAAGTATGTGTGAAATTAAATAGAGTTCATGTTATCATTTCAATGGATTCAAGTTTGATTAGAAATAGACTGTGGATATATACGCAAAATAAAAGTTGTCTTCATCAATTTTAAAAAACAGATGCCACATGCACATTTAATTATTTCTTTAATTATTTAACACTGTTTCTACCGGAGGTATCAAAAGACACCTTTCAATAATGTCCATTTAACACTGTTTTACCAAAGTGGATAATGAACATCTTTTAATAATTTTTAATAAAAATTATTTCATATGTTCTATGGTTTCTATCCAATCACTTCTCGATTTTGGTTATAGTCGTCGCAAAATTAATTTGGTAAATTGTATAAATGCAAAATATCGGCAAAAATAGTGTTAAACAAGTTGAAAATAGTAAATTGATATTGTTGAAATTTGTACAAGAATTGTATAAGAATTGTACTCCAATTTGTCAAAAAATTACGTATAACGACCGTTACAGCGTGATCCAACATCTCAGGATCCTTGAAGATCTGATAACAAAATTTGGTGAAAAATTCTCCTCAACCTTGATAATCAAGGCAAAAGGGTCAAATTGATTTTTTGTTTTATTGCAACGTTGGTACTCAACGAAAGTAACAGAAGTCTCAAAGTAACCGTAGGTCTCAAATCAACCCTTTACATAAAAAACGATGTTAACAATGCCACACTCAAAATCGTGGTACAACCGGCCAAGCGATGACTCTACATAGAGAAATAAGTCGAAGAGAAAGAGTAATATTTTTTCATTCAAGGTCTCGTTTTTGTGAAAACTGAGTTGGAAGATACGTCAATTTCGCGTGGCTTGTAGTATGACGAGAAGTAGAATTAGTATGTCATGGTCAGACGCGCCACTCGATTTCCATTCAATAGTATTATTTTTTCAATCAAATTTTTCTCGATGAATGAAGCCTTAAATGAAAAAATGTTATTCTCCCTTCCGACTTATTTTTCCATATAGAATCATTAACCCGGCTGGTTGGTCGTCACGTTTCTGAACGTAGCGGTAGTGACATATAATTTTTATATAGGATGTCCCAAAAGTTACTCAAAATCGGGAAATTAAGGATTCCTGAGGTTATTTGGAGCAACTTTTTCCTTTGCGAAAATTTTCTCCGTGGCTTCGTTAATGAGTTATTAACGAGAAACAGTGACCAATGAGAGGCGAGCTTGGCTTGCGCCAGGCGGTAACGCGCCAGCCGCGCTTGCCTCTCATTGGTCGGTGTTTTTCGTTAATAACTCGTAAACGAAGCCGCGGATTGCATTTTCGCTAAGGAAAAAGTTACTTCAAATAACGTCAGGAACCCCTCAGTAACTTTTAGGTTACCCTAGCATCGTCTTTTATGTGACTTGAGACCCATGACTTAGTACTGATAGAATATTAATAGAGTACTATACGATACAATAAAAAAAGAAAAAATTTAACTTTGATTTTCAGGGAAGTTTTTTTTAACGGATCTCCATCGATCCAGAGCTGTAGAATCCCGTTGCGGTGGTCGTGGCATATTTCGAAGCACCCTATACATCTGTCAAACTTATACTAATTTCAGGCGGTGGCATGGCACCCCTACCACGGTAGCTTGCTGTGCGTAGGCGGCGGTTTGTCCGACGCTTCGGTATCTTTATTTGATGTGGCCTCGAACGTGGTAGGTCATCGTACTGTTGACTTTTTCGGATCCGTGGACAACCTGGCGTGGAACAAACACAGCGGAGAGTTGGTCGTCCACTGGACTCAGGTAGACGAGGATGGCGAATACACTATCGTACCAGTTTTCGCGAGTATCGACCGCATCGTCGACGCGGTCCCGGTAAACAAGGAATCGCGGGTCAGTTCCGTCATGTGGAATGCTGACCACACACAAATAGGTGTGTGAAAATCATCTCTCTTTATTTTATGGCGGCTCGTTTATTTCCGAAGCCGAAAGAGAGTGCATTGCATGTCGCTGCAACAGAAGGAGTGGGGTTAGGTCATGTGACGCGACGCACAGTGGTCTCGAAATTCGCTTTCTATGGCTGAAATTATTTTAGCGTTGTTTCGAAGCTTGAAGTTATGACAGTACACTAATAATTAGAAATAGTTAGCAAATAGTTTTAAATTATGACAGATTGATAATTAACGATTTTTTAATAAATCAGTTGAAGTGTCGATTTACTGGAATTGATAATTGTAAATGATTAATAAAACGATCAATTGCTAATTTTGTAAATATTGCAAATTGTCAAATATCTGTTGTCAGTGAATTGTGAGTGTAGTATTGCTTTAATCAAATTAATAATTGTAAAAGATTAATTAAATTATCACTTCCAAGTTTCGCAAATGATTTAAATTGTCGAATTCCATCAATTGTCAGTTAATTGTACAGTTAAATTGTCAATTGAATAAAATTAATAATTGCAAAAGATTAATAAAATTATGAATTAAAAAGTTCGTAAAATTTGTAAATTGCCAGATAATCAAATTATTTCAATCATTTGCAATTATTAATATATGATTATTTCTCCACAGATAATTTCTAGAATACATTTTAGTTAAAAACTAGTTTATTTATCCTTCAAAATTATTATTTTTTATAAATACTTCGTCATTATTAATTTTAATAATCCTTTACGATTAATGTTTTTCTTCTTTTGTTCTATGCTCTAAAACACATAATCATTTCAGCCGTCTACAATGCAGAGAGTCTAACTGTATGGAACTTCTTCGGCGATGAATACCAATATCATGATACCTGCAGAAAACAACGAGAGCCGAAGTACAAAAAAAGGCTCACGAGGCACAGAGGATTGAACAGCATTCACCATTTTATACGGTAGATTTGTTACAATTAACAAAAGGGAAAAGTTTATTTTATTTATACAAGAAATGATTAAGATAAAAAAAGATTATGGTAAATTATATTTACAGACATTATTTTTTAAACTCTTCACATAGCTTGTTTGTTAAATGTATTACATAGTTTATTTTTCAATCATATTTAATTATTTCATCTTTTACCATATGTAACTTTGTAGACCAATCATCTATTTATTCATCTATTTATTTATTTATGTATTTCATTATTACACTTTGAAATTAAAAGTTATAAATTAACTGTTAATACGAACACTGATGCGTTATATTCAAACAATTTATTTTTGTTAACCCATGATGCAGTAT